GAATGGGGCGCCCGGGTGGCTCAGTCGGTTGAATGTCTGACTTCAGCTCAGGTCACAATCTCGCGGTTCGTGGGTTTGAGCCCTGCGTCGGGCTCTGTGCTGACAGCTCAGGGCCTGGAGCCTGTTTTGGATTCTGTGTCTCCCTCTCTCTCTGCTCCTCTCCTGCTCACACTCTGTCTCTCTCTCAAAAATAAAGATTAAGCAAAGTTTTTTTTTAAAGGCTGGGGGAGAAAGGAAAGAAGCAAACCCCTCTGAGTTCTTGATAATCATGCACACGTTTTTCAGGACCTTTGCAATAATCCTTAGTTCCTTGGGAGTCATCAGTGTTGCACCTTCTCAAAGCTGCATTCTTTGGCATCATTAGTGTAACTATGGCTTCCCAAATTCCAGTTGGAAAGATACTTAACAAAACCATGTTGAATTACAGTCCAAATTCACTTCTTGCAGATTATGTTTGTGAAATTGCTTACTACAATTTATTAGTAACCCTCAAATCAGAACTTCTGTTGCTTTCATGGGCATGTGTATGTTGCAGAGTAGCAGCAAATCTGTCATCAGACATGTATGGGCCCAAATGAAGTGAGACCAGGTGACACTGTCTTATCTCTGCTCTCATACTGTAAACAAGTGCCCTTTTCATGGTATATATTTTTTGCATTATATATTTTTGCATGGTATATTTTTTTGTTGGTGATTTTGCTGTTTAAAATGGTCCCTAAGTATAGTGCTGTGTAGTGGTTGTTCCTAAATGCAAGAAGGCACTGATGTACCTTACTGAGAAAATGTTAGGTAATATTTGTTCAGGCCATGAGCTGTTGGTTGAGTTTAATGTTAGTGAATCAACAACAGATTCTAAATTAAATATCTTAAAACAAGGTTATGTATTGATCAATTGATGAAAATGTGACCAGAGGTTCACAGGAACCCAATCCTAGATTCCTCCGAGATGCAATGCTACAATATTCACTAATTCAGTGTTTGACTTTATAGAAATAACTGTGAGTAATAAAAATAAACTATATACAGTTACATAGTAGTGAACTAGAAATTAGAATATTTAGGACAATGGGTGTGCCATTTAGAGCTTTAAAATTATAAATTTAAAAGACTCCATACAAAAAATATCGTATTACTCCATTATTACTCATCTCTAAGTATATGGCTGACTGTAGTGCACTGTTTTTGATGTTGAATTCAACTGAACTATAAATCTCAATCTTCTATTCCTCTGTAATACCTACCCACCTCCTTTCCTTTTTCCTCCTATTTCTTATCATCCTTTCCAGGGTAATTGCTAATGGCCTCAAATACTGTCTTCCAATCAGAAAACTCAAACCTAAATTTCTAATCTTTACATCTTTTCTGGCTCTGGATTTGTATTCCAAATGCCTGTCTGACATATCCACAAATTTCCCTGTTACAAATCATGCCCAATTTTACAAACAAAACTCATTTTTCCCCCTCCATAAGCCATTCTCTTCTGCGTATATACCTCATCTGAAGTAATGAACTTTCTTATCATATAAACCAGAAGTTTACTCTCACAAAAATCATTTTTTTTTTTTTAATTTGCATCCTAGTTAGTTAGCATATAGTGCAACAATGATTTCAGGAGGAGATTCCTTAGTGCCCCTTACCCATTTAGCCCATCCTCCCTCCCACACCCCCTCCAGTAACCCTGTTTGTTCTCCATATTTGAGTCTCTTATGTTTTGTCCCCCTCCCTGCTTTTACATTATTTTTGCTTCCCTTCCCTTATGTTCATCTGTTTTGTATCTTAAAGTCCTCAAATGAGTGAAGTCATATGATATTTGTCTTTTCTGACACAATCTTTTCTTAAAAAAAAAAAATTGTTTATTTTTGAGGTGGGGGGAGGGTCAGAGGGAGAGAGACAGGGAGACACAGAATCTGAAGCAGGCTCCAAGCTCTGAGCTGTCAGCACAGAATTTGATGCAGGGCTCGAACTCACGAACCGTGAGATCATGACCTGAGCCCAAGTCAAAGAGTCGGACACTCAACCGAACCACCTAGGTGCCCCTCAGTGAGAAACTTTATAGATGCTTAATATATTTTATAATCTAATCCTACGTTATTAGCCTGAGATCCATTTCTAACAAGCTCCTAGGCAATGCTGAAGACCATAATTTTCACAGAGACCACAAAGCAGGAAGTATTATATGGAAGTCTAAGAAAGAGATGACACTTTAGTAAGTTTTTGTATGGGGGGGCAGGTGTGGTGGTAAGACTTAGACCGGAAGGTAACTAAATTTAGAAACTCCAGTTACTAAGTCTATCTTATTAGGTGCATATTCAGCTCTTCACCTAATGTTCCTTGTTCCTTGCCTTTTATGCATCCATCCCACAACATGTAATGTAGAACATCCTTATTGTAGCATTTCATGAATTACCAGTGTTTGTTGTAATTTTCTCTTTGCCCAAGTTATTTAAGAACATTCCAAAAATTCCAAGTGTGTGATTTTCCAACATCTAGTCTTAGCTTCAAGGCTGTTTTGCAATGTGGTCATTTGTGCAGTGTGATCATACATTAAAATTTTCTCTGTATCCTAACGTTAGATCATTTAGACATGTTTCAGGATAATCTGAAAATACAAATGAAGTAGCAAAGTAATACCTACTATACATACATACACACACACACACACTCCTATTTAATTACTTTATCTCCTTTCACTTACTTTACTAAGGACTATGAACGTTTAAGAGTCCATCAGTTTTTGCCATATGTATGTTAAGAATTACTTTATTAAATACATAAAATGCAACAATTTTAAGTCTACACTTAAAATGACTTATGTATACATCAGTAAAACTACCACTCAGATACTGAACATCTTACATATGAATGCCACGTTATTTACCACACAAAGCTTAAATATTACATCCTACAGCTTTATACTTTGTTATAGCTTAAATTCTGATAAAAACGTTGCTCCTACTTCAATTTCTAGGACTTTGTTTCCTTGCTGTTTTTCACACTTCCCCTCCAATCCATAAAGCTGGTATATTCTAATTTACCCATAACCTTATTTCAGTGCCAAATTTACTTATAATGAACTACTACATGAAGCAGGAACTACTGCTTTTCCCTGGACAAGATGTACATAAAACAAAGTTTTCATCTACCACCTCCCCAACCAGGAATTTAGAAATTTTCTTTTTACACAGTATTCACATTACAGATAAAATTGTTACTTTTTTCCCCTCTATAATTAAAAATAGAGGACACAAAACTGTACCGATTTCTCATTTTGTCAGATTAACACTTGGAATGCCTTTACTGTATCCTGTCCACACTGACAAAGCCCTTTTATTTTACTTATGTTTAGCTGAAGAGCTTGCATATCTTTGTCTACAACGCATACTAAAAATAACAGCTCTTACTTGCTTTGTAAATTAAACATTTACCACACCTTTGTAGTTTAAAATGAGAGAAAGTGAAATTTTACATTTAACTTACAAATCTATTTTTTGCACTTAGTCTTATAACCCCACATATAACAAGTTAATCTTAAGGCTGTTTAACTAGCTTTAATGTTTACCCAGTTTTTTTTTTTTACCCTATTTTTTTCATACAATTGCTTCACTACCCTTGAATTGTTTTAACTTATGGTTTTTATGAGTTGCAGTAACGTCATTTAACAAATTTTTCAAGGACAGCATTTGGGTGATACACTTTATACTTTAACTCCTGAGTATCTGTAAATGTCTTCCAGTTGCCCTCGTATAGAAATAACTTAGCAGGATACAGAATTCTTGGCTCAAAATTATTTTCCCTTAAACCTCTGTAGACATTGCTTGTCTTTTTGGCATTCGGAGCTGCAAAAGAAATTTCAGGTCAGTCTGACTTTTACCCCTTTATGAGTAACCTGGTTTCTCTAAATACTTGTAGAATTTTTTATCTTCCAGTTTAACGTCACTAGGGTATGTCTAAGTGTTGCTTTCTTTTCGTTAAGTTCTGGTAGCCTATGAGCTTTTCTATCTGCCGATCTAGTTAGTCCCTCAAGTCTGGAAAATTTTCTACTATTGGTTCCTAAATTTTGTCTCTGCTTCAATTGCTTTGTCATCTATTTCAGGTATTCTTATTATGCGTAGATTGCATCTCTTGGACAGATTCTCTAGTTGTCTCTTCTATCTTTTCCCTTTTTTTCCTCATGCTTAGTTTCTTTTTTCATTTATTTCTGTAATTCGTTTTTGTGGCCGACCGGGTTTGCATGTTTCCGTTCTCTTTCAATTCTCTTATACTTTTCCAAGTGCTCTGACAGTAGCCTCTTTATCTTCGAGCATAGGTCTGTAAGCTCCTGTACCATATGATGGTCCATCCTTAAAACCTCTTCGGTTTCCACTTCTATATCCATTTCAAGAGGCGGCATTTTCTCAATTGTGAGCGGTTTCTGAACTCAGGTATTACGACCTTTAAAACAATGAACAAAACTTAATTCCCTACCGTTTGACTGACTCAGCCCAAAGATTCCCATGGATAATTATTAACAGTTTTACTTATATGTCTTCTTTTTCTTCCTTACCTTTTGAACAGCACGTCTCAGGAATTTGACCAAAAGAAACGATTAGAGAACGCCGTCCGTCTGAAGACCCAACGAAAGGTAACGAACTTCCAAAATGGCTCCCGTCACGTCATCACTGCGCGCCTCACGTCAGAGCCGGTAGCCGGACGCGTAGCTTTATTCCTGAAGGAGCTATAACGCGCTAGCCAATCACGAAGCAGCAAACTGCAGCGGTCAAGCCACACCCCCACGCGCTGTCGCGCCCTCCCCCCCACCGCCTCGCCTCCATAGACCAGAGTCACGGGAGTGCGCATGCGTCTATCGCATCGCCTTTCTCTTCGGCCCAATGACTCTGCTTAGATCCGGTACCGCCTCGAAGGCGGGACTGGGTCCCAGCCGCGACCAATGGCACCCCGGGTGAGGGTGAGGGGTGGAAGGTGCCTGTTAGCTCGTGGTGCAGCTACCAGCGCGTGTGCTGGGCTACCTGGTCGTCATGGAGGCAATCTTGGCGGAAGAGCTTGCTGAGGAGGAGCAGCTAGTGAGAAGGCATCGCAAAGAGAAGAAGGAGCTGCAAGGTGACCAGGGGGTGGGAAGTCTCCCGGACCCAGGAAAGGGCGCGTGGCGGGTCGGTTCTGAGGAATCTTGAGAGGCTTCTGATCTGGCTCCTCCTAGACTTTCCCAAAGTAGCTAGTATCCTCTTCCCTCTTAATCCCCTATCCCGGTGGTCCCTTAATCCGCCAGATCTTCAGAAGCTTCCTTTTCTTAGATCCGCCACGTCTCGGCTTCCCCATGTCACCGCCTGGGTGCTGGTGTCTGAGAATACCTCCAAGCCGAGATGTTGGGCCCAGACTGTACCGCCCCCTCCCCTGTCTCCCTTTCCCGTTCCTGAACCTGTTACCGACACTTGGATCTAATGGATGCTCTTAAAATACCTCACCTCAATTTTGAGGACTCAAAAGGGATAGTTAAAAGATTTAAAACTTGAGTCATTTTTCTTTTTCCTATCACACTAAACAAACGTACAGTTTTGAGGATTTTCTTTTTGTCTCCATCTGAGCTCTGTAGACTGTAAATGTGTAATAACGCAGTTACTCTTCTATCATTATTTGTTTCCACCTTTCTCCCCTTATTGTCCCCATTTCTCATTTCCTCTCAATCCTGAATTGTTGACTTAATGATTTTGGTGGCTTTTCAGCCAGAATTCAGGGTATGAAGAATGCTGTTCCCAAGAATGACAAAAAGAGGAGGAAGCAACTCACCGAAGATGTTGCTAAGTTGGAAGCAGAAATGGAACAGAAACATAAAGAAGAACTGGAGCAACTGAAGCTGACTTCTAAGGAAAGTAAAGTATGTAAAGTAGTGTTTCTCTTTGCCTACAGCATTTGAAAGCCACTGCCCATCTCTAATATTAAACTGTTGACTGTATGACATCGTACAATTAGAGGGAACGGAAGTCACAATCATGCGTCACCATTCATTAATATTTCTGTGACCAGGTTTACATGGTAATGTGTTTTTGTAAGGGAGGTCAGCAAAAAAAGTACGCGTCAACTATTTACTTGCCCCATAGAGGAACAGATTGATAAAGTGGACTAGAGGAAGCTTCACCAAATGGAAGTTAGGACTTCTAGTCCCAGAATTGCCATTAAATAGTATTGTAACCTTGGTAAAGTTACTTAAACTTCCTGAGCATAAACTTCTCCACATATAATGTGATATAAATACTTCTGCTGCTTAAGCACGAGATTCTGTAAGAATCAAATGGGACAGCAAATATGAAATCATTTTTAGATTATAAATTGCTTTATGAACAAGTTGTAATGATTGAAAATTTACGTTTCTTGGGTAAATTGGAGCATACTGTCATTTTAACTAATACTTACTGTGGCTAATAGGTATTGTGTGCCAAGCACTTCAACATATTTATACTATCTCATGTAATTTTTTTTTTTTTTTTTTAATTTTTTTTTTTTTCAACGTTTATTTATTTTTGGGACAGAGAGAGACAGAGCATGAACGGGGGAGGGGCAGAGAGAGAGGGAGACACAGAATCGGAAACAGGCTCCAGGCTCTGAGCCATCAGCCCAGAGCCCGACGCGGGGCTCGAACTCACGGACCGCGAGATCGTGACCTGGCTGAAGTCGGACGCTTAACCGACTGCGCCACCCAGGCGCCCCTCATGTAATTTTTATAGTAACATACTAAGATATTATCCATGAAGTGAATGTAAAGAATCTCATTTTTCAAGAGGGAAATAGACTCAGAGAGATTAAGAACTTACTTCTGAACAGCTATTAAGTGCCAAAGCTAGAATTCAAAATCAGGATGGTCTTACTCCCAAGATGTGAATATTGAATTCTGTTACAACTTTGTATGGTGTGGTAGTTTATTGCATGAGTTTGGATACCAAGGATCACAGCCTCCATAACATTCCATTTTCGATAGTTAGAATGTTATGTCTGTGCAAAGTTTTATCTACCGTAATGTGGTTTTATTAAGTTTATTTTTGGTCTGTTCTTGACAGGGAAAACAACTTGTCTGTACTGATTAACAGTGGTCATTATATTAAACATATTCTCATTTTCTTTAGCCCTGTTAGCTAGTCATCAAGATCCTGGCCTTCTGTGCCTTAACATATTTTAATAAAAAAAAAATTTTATTTATTTATTTTTGAGAGACAGTGAGACATAGTGAGAGTGGGGGAGGGGCAGAGAGAGAGGGAGACACAGGATCCGAAGCAGGCTCCAGGCTCTGAGCTATCAGCACAGAGCCAGACGCTGGGCTCGAACCCACAGACCATGAGATCATGACCTGAGCCGAAGTCGGACACTCAACCAACTGAACCACCCAGGCGCCTCTGTGTCTTAGCATATTTTATTCCCAAGTAACCTAGTATGATGCCCAGGTGTTTGTGTTGTCACAATCATGGTATTCCAATTATCTTCTCATTTGCAACTTTGAGCTTTCCTACGTTTCCAAGGACAAAAATGTTTGATTCTTAAGCTACATGTTGTTTGTTAAAATACAAGCTCCCATTTTACTTTGACCTATTGTCTTTTTCATTGACTTAAGCTTGTTTTCTTTCTGAATGCTATATGAATTCTTATGTCATTGCTTTCCAGATGCTTTTCTGTTTCTTGCCTATTGTCAGCACGGCAGTTTGTAGATTTTAGCAGATTCCTCTGAAAAATATAACAATATTCATTTTATTAAAGTTGATGTAACTATTATTTGAAGTCTTAATTTGGTTTTGATATTTTGATAATTTGGGAATAGCCTTGAAGAGTGCTAGCTCTATTGTTACTAGAGGTCTCTATATGCATTATATATGTATCCTACTAAAAACTGGTTTAAGCTATAGTTGCAATAATAAAATGCTAGCTACTAATCCTGATCGTTAAAAGTCTAGCATCTTCTTTAGCAGACACATGACAGCCATTTGATGATTAAGATTGGTTGTGCTATCTGAACAATACCTTAACTTTTCTACCTATAGTTATCAGTTTGTAAATGGGAAAGGATAGAGAAAGCTCAATATGTTACTACGGTCAAGAAGCAGGGTTCATCAGGTTCTGGCTAATTAAGATGGAGAATGGCCTTTCCTGCCACATTTGAGCTTATGAAAGCAGTAGTGAACTGAGCCAGTGCAGGACCTTATGTATCCTATAGGTACTGTCAACACTTAGAGAAGGGAAGGGTGGACTGCTGAATGAGTTGGCACATACAGAAAGTATTTGGGTTAATGGAGTAGGAATTGGAAGCAAGAAGGAAAAGCCTGCAGGGATGAGCATTATCTTTGGAGAGCTGTAAGAAAACCTTTTGGGAATCGGACGAATTCTCCCTTAAAAATAGAGAAAGGAGACACAACCATGTCTTGTAATAACGTAGCTAGTAGTATTATTCAAATTTGAGTTGTGGGATTACATGCATTTGTGATTTTTTTCAATAATTTAATAGTCTGATACTTTGAATGATAAATTAAAAGTATTTTTCATTAATTCGTTAATGCTTTTTGTTTCCTTCAGATAGATTCTGTTGCTGTTAACATTTCAAACTTGGTTCTTGAGAATCAGCCACCTCGGATATCAAAAGCACAAAAGAGACGGGTATGAATGTCATGTCACCAAGTAATTAAGTTAGTGCTGTATGCTTATTACTCTCTTAGGTGTTGTGTAGGAAGGGAGTAGGAAAAAAAATGATGGAGTTCCTTGTCAAAGGACCTGAGCTAACATTTATTAGGCATTTGCTGTTTGCTAGGTACAATGCTAGGCTTATTATAGATTATATGAAATCTCATTTACTCCTGATTATAATCCTGTGAAGTAGATTCTTAATCTCATTTTAAGAAAATAGGCCTAACCAGTATAAAATAACATGTTCCGTTTCTAGTTCTCTTAAGAGAGTGGGCATAGAAGGGGAGTGTGCAAAGAATATTTTTTACAAATATATTATCCCAGACTTAATAATTTAGAATCTACACAGTGTGGGCCCAGATGGTTCTGATGCACAATTTTGGTTAAAAACTATGGTACTAAGTGGTGAAACAAGGATTTGAATCTAGAAATTAAGCAAGATACACAGGTGTCCAAAATTCTGAGGTTTATGCAGGTACCTATGTAATGGTTAGCTGCAGTGGGAATTCAGAGAAGGAAAAGTTCATTGTGACAAGTGTTAAATGAGTTAGAATTTTAAGAAAATAGTTATTTAAAGAGGATATTTGAAGTACGATAAATAGCACGCATGTGGGCATGAAATAATTCTGCATCATGGTGAGAGCTATAAGGAAACTGATTTGTTGGAAGTAGTGAGTTCATGAAATCAAAACTATGGGACTGAGATTAGATAAGTAAGGGCTGTTCACTTGGAAAAAGAAAAAGGGGTTTTAAAAACAGTCTGTTTAGTCTCTAGTATTGTTTTACTAACACTTGATGTTTTATAGGATTTAAATACTTATTTTTAAGCTAACTTAGCGTTTTATAATTTAGTAGTACCCAGTTTAATTGGGCATGGTATTTGGTATCAGACTTTTGAAGGTTTTAATCCTACTTACTGTTGTGACTTTGGGTAAGATTCTCAACCTTTTTAAACCTCAGTTTCATATGTATAAAATGGGTGAAATAATACCTGCTTTGTAGAGTTATTGTAAGTATTAAGTAATTTACTGTTGCCAAAGCCCTAACACAGTGCCTGGAGAACTAGCGGGTCAGCCAATGATAGTATGTTTACTGTGTTCAGTCCTGTGTAGTGTGCCTCTTACAAATTCAACCCAAGACCAGTAGCTTGTTTTTTGTTGTTTGAAAGTTGATTAAGTTGCAAATGGTCAAACATTTTCATGCTTATATAAGATTGTATTCTTGAGTTAATATTATGATTGTGAATTTCACAGAATCATGAAACTTAGATTTTATGGTATCTTGGAGGTTATCTGTTTTAACTCCCTACTTAAGATACATGTTCTCTTTGTGATAGCCTTATAGTTGTCATCTAGCTGCTATAGATCAAAAGCAAAGGGCAGAGTTTTTGCTTGGCAGTAGCATAACAAAATATTTATTGGGATTGCCTCTACTTAGTAATTGATACATCTTGGAGTAGCCTATTTAATTTTGGAAAACATAGGCCCCAACTCCTTCCTGTCTGTATCTAATCTTATTCATCCCCAGCTGGACCCCAGCTGGACCAAAACAAAAAATTAAACTCCCTTTTCTCAAACATTTTGTTACTTTTCTCCTAAAACAATGCATAGCTAAAATGCATACCTTTTCAACTATACTCTCAAAAAATTTAGTATCTTTTGTAGTCAGCTGCTTAAATACTTGGCAGAGAAAACACCCTAGAAGTAATTCCCAAAGTTTTTTTTTATTGCTTTGTTATATTAATAGTATTAATAAGATTCTGGAACTGAAAACACTTAAAAGTTTATATAAGAAAATGAAACTTGAACTTTTTTTTTTTTT